TCACCCCTAGGGCGACTCAAAGCCGTTTACACATAGATAATGGAAAAAAAAATCAATGCCTTACAACTACAATAGTAAAACCACACTTTAACCATATATCATATTAAAAACAGTACACCATCAAATATCAAACAGTTATTAAAACCATAAAACAATATCATCAGTCGAGTCGCCGTTCCAGTCCTTGTCCCACTAAAACCTGCATACATCTATTGTCCAAAGGCCTGCTCCCAGAACCATGATTTAATTTTTTTTTCTAAAGGTCAGGAGTGAGGGAACAGATCTTACCTCCTCTGGAAGTGTGTTCCGTAGACGGGGGGCCATAGCCAAGAAGGTCCTGCTCCTCGTCCCCGCCAGCCGCATTTGGGCTGGGCCTCCCCAGTTGATCTTAAATTGCGAGGTGGGATGTAGAGGCAGATGCGTTCGGAGAAGTAAGCTGGACCCGAACCGTTTAGAGCTTTATAGGTCAAAACCAGCACTTTGAATTGGGCTCGGAGATGGACCGGCAGCCAGTGGAGCTGGGATAACAGGGGGGTGGTATGCTCCCTGTATGCCGCCCCGGTTAGTAAGCTGGCTGCCGCCCGTTGAACTAATGAAGTTTCCGAACCGTCTTCAAAGGCAGCCCCACATAGAACTCATTGCAGTAATCTATTCGGGATGTAACCAGTAAGTAAGTAAGTAAGTACTCTTGTGGTGCAAAGGTGAATCCAAGCCAGAGTGCAGAAACATGGAGCAAAGCCAGCAAGAAGCAGAAAGAGATGAGTAAAAAAATGACCTATAAAACACACACCACTTTAAAGAGAGCAAAAAGAATCCACGTTTTGGGCCAGCAGGTGGCAATGTGAGGAAGTTGGTGAAATCCTTTTGGTATTATTTCCTGTGGTGCTTAACATCGCTGTTCTCCATATGGGCGTGTGCCTGTGTTTACATATAGATGGTATTATCAATAGCAGTGGTGATAGTTTTCTAGTGACTGGGATGCAGCAAAGGGTGGTGCTGGTATGAAATCAGAACGACAGAGGAAGGGTCTTGTCTCAGACAGAAAGTGCCAAATATGAATTCAACCACTCCAGAAATTTTACCTTTATGCCCCAAATTCCGAGCATTGTGCTTCTGTTTGCTGTATTCGCTCTCCGTGCATCACTCGTTTCCTTGGATGACTACACTCTATTTCTAAATGCTCAATTGAACTTTTAAGTTACTGCAGCCTTCAAAATGTGGATGCTGGAGGACAAAGTTCTTTGGAGGAGACCGTCTTCTTATGCTTTGTGTAACAACTGTGTTTATTATTATTATTATTATTATTATTATTATTATTATTATTTTGCTTAAAGTGCAAAAGACAAAGAGTGAATAAAGTAAAAACAGAATCCAGAGCAGAAGAGAAAACTGGCAAAAGAAGGACAGTTCTTGTGAAAAATTGAGAGCCAAATTGACAAACAAAAAACATGGCTGTGGCTCGCAAATGGGACTTTGAAAAGGAGATGGAGGGCCTGATTCTGGCAGCCCAAGAACAAGCCATTGGAACCAATGCCATCAAAGCCAGAATTGAAAAGTCCACGACAGATCCCAAATGTAGACTCTGCAAGGAAGCAGATGAAACAATAGATCACACCCTGAGCTGCTGCAAGAAGATCGCGCAGACAGACTACAAGCAGAGGCACAACACCCTTGCTCAGATGATTCATTGGAACTTGTGCCATAAATATCATCTGCCTGCGACAAAGAACTGGTGGGATCACAAGCCAGAAAAAGTTACAAAAAATGAACATGTCAAACTACTCTGGGACTTCCAAATTCAGACAGACAGAGTTCTGGAGCACAATACTCCTGACCTCAAGATTGTGTTAAAAAGTAAAGTATGGGTTGCTGATGCTGCAATCCCAGGTAACAGCAGGATTGAAGAGAAACAACTGGAAAAGCTGACATGATGTGAGGATTTACTCTGGCACAAGCCAGTCAAGGTGGTCCCAGTGGTGATTGGCACATTGGGTGCAGTGCCTAAAGACCTTGGCTAGCACTTAAATACAATCGGCGCTGACAAAATTACCATCTGCCAGCTGCAAAAGGCCACCTTACTGGGATCTGCACGCATTATTTGCCAATATATCACACCGTCCTAGCACAGGTTGCCACCCTATACCCCGATCAGATGTGCGACTGACCAGGAGGACCTCTACCTTGTCGGGTAGGGCTGGGCGGTTTCGTT